AGTAGCAAACATGGAGATTGAACTGGGAAAGCAGTCAAGGAGGATGGAATTGGTCTCAAGTGTTCTGGGTTGCAAAAATGGTTATAAAATGCAACCAGCTTCTAGTAACAGATGCTGGCAAACAAGCCTGGAAAGAAGCTGATGGTATGTGAAACCAGGTTGTGCCCAAACTCAGAATGTAAATGTAATGACTTTGAGCACAGCTGTAGTTTATGTAACAATGGGAAAGCAAAGTCCTTAGACTAATCTTCTCCCTCATCCCCAGAAGAGAGAAATATCTCACTGTCATTAATACATATATGAATCATTCTACATAAATGGATTTAAGACAGCCATGAATCAGAGTCAGACGCTGAAATCATTGTGTAAGAAAATGATACCGGAGATTTGCTTCTGTTCATTTCTCCCCTCAAACAGTTTAGGTTGGCTTGTTTACTGCATGATTTTCAAAGCTGCTGGTTATTCTGAGAATGTTTCCTTTTAAACAGGTTCACAGCTGGGTATTTCTTAATGAAGGCAGGATTTCACCTCCCATCAAAGTAGTTGGTGAAGGGGTACAATATATAAAACAGATTGACTTTCACTTCCATTTATATTAATACTGTTAAGCATCAAGGAGACTAGTTGGTTTCCTGATAATCCCCCTCCCCCCGTGGCATGTTTGGCTTGAGGCATTCATAGAATTTCATGATAGACACTATCAGCAGGCTAAGTTTATGATTCTAGAGTTGGAAATTTATGACTCTAGAGTTGGAAGGGCCCTTGAGGATCATCTAGTCCAAACCCCTGTGATGCAGAAATCTCAACAAAAGCATCTTTGGCAGATGGCCATCCAGCCTCTGTTTAAAAACCTCCAAGGAAAGAGAGACCACAAACACCCGAGGCAGACCATTCCACTGTCGGAACAGCTCTTACTGGCAGAAACTTACACATCAACCCTGGTTTCCTTAGATGCCTCCCACTATTCTTTCTTGTTGGAATTGTCTGCATTTGGGCCTTCAATATTTCAACTTGAAGAAGCTCCCATCCATTTTGGACTCTCTTTTCTGACCATGGGATCTCATCCAGTAGTTCCTTAAGCTTTTGAAATTGGGCCTTCTTGAAGTCCAGAGTGCGTGCAACTACACTCAGCTTTTCCTTGCCTCTGTATCACGAAACCCAGGAGGACATGATCACTTCCTCTCAAGTTTCCCAGTACAGTGGTACCTTGGTTTATGAACTTAATCTGTACCGGAAGTCCATTCTTAAACCAAAACGGTTCTTAAACCGAGGTGCGTTTTCCCTAATGAGGTCTGCCGGTGCCCGGTGCCCTTCCACCGTTTGGATTCCGTTCTTAGACCAAGGTAGAGTTCTCAAACCAGGACACTATTTCCGGTTTTGCAGAGTTTGTTAACCGAATCATTCTTAAACCGGACTGTTCTTAAACCGAGGTACCACTGTACTTCCATTTCGTTGAATAGTTCCTCCCTGTTGGTGAGGACCAGATCCAAGACAGATGATTCCTTTGTTGCTTCTTCCATCTTCTGGGAAATGAAATTGATAGCAAGGCAATGGAGGAATTTGTCAGTCCTTACATTCTTGGCAGTGTTTGAGTTCCAACAATATCGGGGAAGTTGAAGTCTACCATGACCACTATTTCTCCTTTTCAAATGTTTGGTAATCTGCTCTAGAAGGGCATCATCCAAGACTTGAGTCTGGCTTGGTGGTCTATAGCAGACACCCACAGTAAGGTCACTGTTGTTTCTCTCTCCTACAGTTTTTACCCATATTCTCTCAATCTGCTTTCCATGCTCCAGGTCATGGATCTATTCACAAGTGTACACATCCTGTACATATAATGCCATTCCTCCCTCCTTCCTGTATGATTGCCTTGAAACTAGAATGCCTTTGTTATTCATGCATTTTGGTGCAGAGAGAAGCTATAATGAAGAAGGAAATAAAGTGTGGGGGGGGGCGAACCAAACACTTCACACTGGAAAAGTAGGTTAAATGAGGGACTTGGTTTTGAGTTTATGAAACTCACTGACCAGGCTTATATGGGAAGTAAAAAACTGTTCTTAATCTTATGCAAGGCTCTGGGTATATTCTCGCCTTCCACTTTGCCCCTCTCTGCATATATCCTAAGAGTTTGTTTCTTCAGGTACCCCTAACTGGATTCCTTTTTGTTTCTATTGGTCCATGTTGTCCTGGCCATTTGTAGAAAGGATATTGAGATTTTCTGGAACTCAGCCAGCTGTGTATCCATTCATTGCAGATGTGCTCTGGTGGAACAAACTAACCACTGAAATACAGAAGAAGAGAGAGAAGCTGCATTTGTTGTGGTCAGCAAAGAGCAAAATGTCAAACTCTGATATTCTTGTGGATATCAGGCTTCTTACCCTTGACAGTTAAATTTTAATACTCTTCTAACTTGATCTTCTTGGACTGCTACCAAAGTCCTAATTCGGATGATTTTTGTTTTTGTGTAATTCTTATAAAAGGTGTCTTTGTGGAGTACCGTATTTTTCGCTCTATAAGACGCACCAGACCACAAGACGCACCTAGTTTTTGGAGGAAGAAAACAAGAAAAAAAATATTCTGAATCTCAGAAGCCAGAACAGCAAGAGGGATCGCTGCGCAGTGAAAGCAGCAATCTCTCTTGCTGTTCTGGCTTCTAGGATAGCTGCACAGCCTGCTTTCGCTCCATAAGACGCACACACATTTCCCCTTACTTTTTAGGAGGGAAAAAGTGAGTCTTATAGAGCAAAAAATACGGTAAGTGTTTGCCATATTCGCAAACACTTTGCATCCCTCTTCTGCGGTGTTTGGGCATCATGGCTGCAACCTGCATCCTTCAATCTGCACACAGTGCTTAGTGATGCTGTTTGTTCAGCTTGTTTCTTTCTGTTATTGTTTTCTCCTTCCTATTCCCTTGCATGGTTCTGTTTTTGTGTTTTGATTTTTAGGGTTGAGGAGTTATTTCTGCTCTGCCAGTTTGATCTGGAGGGGCAAGATGACTCCTCCCCCTGGAAGAGGCAAAAGACTCTTAGGTCCCTGCCTATCAAATCCAGTAGGAAGTGGCATACTCAAGATAAAATGTCTTCCAACCTAATCTGCAAATAGAAATAGTAAGAACCAATTTCATTTTTTTGAACGACATATTGGGTATAGAGATTGTGATTTATATAGAAGATGCAGTCATGGTCTGTGTGTTTCACTGGAAACTTGTCCTGAATCCCCATTTAATTCAGAAATGATGGGCTCTACATCATAGGTACTAAGGGAGAAACAGACTGGTGGGTCTGGTATAGGATTGTCTTCAGTGGTGAGATAGAAAATGTGCTCAGATTTGTTGGGCTGGCTGACTAGTGCAAGTAGACATGCTAATATTGGTGAACATTACGAGTATAGCTCTTAATCAAATATAACATTATGAAAGTAATAATGTTATAAGGCCAAACCTCCTTACCCCTCTCATCACCTCTGAAGCACCAGGGAGGAAGAGCTAAGGTTTTCTCATTCTAGCTTGCTCTCTAAGAAGAAACTGTGGAGGGTTCACCAGTCGGATATGGAGGCATCATCCACAGCTGAGCAGTCTGAATCCCTTGGCCTGAGTGAAGGATGGGTGCCTAGTAGTTTCTTCTCCATATAATTTTTGTTGATGGAATTCTGACTGCTCTCAGTCGATAGAATGCATAGGACAAAGCCTTCTATGCTGGCTGGGTCTGAAAGGAGTTGCAGTTCTAAACATCTGGAGAACACTAGGTTGGGGAAGATCATGTATGTTGACTGAAGCACTGATGAAGTAGGAAAGTTTGCCCTTCTGAGTAAACCTTGGCCAAAAAAAGTTCATTAAGATTTAGCAATATATTTTGGACATCCCATTGCAGCTCATTTTAACTTCTTAACTCTTAGAAAAAATAATTAAATTTCCTTGAAAATGTCCTTGGCAGAAGAAACAAGGAAATGAGTAATGTAAGTCTTATTTTTTATGACTTGCATAACCAGGCATGGTTTTATTGTAACACTTGCTTAAGTTTTCTGCCAGCTTTAAAAAAACCATTTCCTGCATCTCTGCTTAATTGTTGTTTTGGTGTGTTCTGTTGTGCTGGCTGTTACACTTTCCCTGCTCTTTACTCAATAAACATTTTAAATCTTAAAAGCAACCCACCATTTTGCATTCTATTTCATGTTTTGAAGCATACATTACTGTTAGATTCCATTGTGCTTTTTGGGAGAAGCCTGGCATTGGCATGAACTACAATAACTTTAAGCTAAAGTAGGGAGCAGAGTCCTTCACTAGCTCTCTTGCCAGACATGTTGAGCACTTTCAAGTAAGTTGGCTGTCTCTCTATTCTTTGACGTATTTCCTTTTGTACTTGGTACTCAATAACAAGTCCTATTTTGCAAGCTACTTGGACATGCTGTACTTTTCTCGGTCCGCTGCAAGAAATGTAGAGTGCAGGGCTTGCCAGTGCAGTACCCACAGGTGCTAGTGCTCCTGCTAGTGTTTCGTGTCGCACCTGATAAGGTTTCAGTAAATATCCCCTCAAAAATCTGTGATGCATGGGAGACAGTTGGTTCTTTATGCTTGATCCTTGTGTTCATAGGCTTGGCTTTGCCTACATGGAAGTGCCCCCTTAAATGGGCCCTCATTTTGTTGGGTGCCAGGATTGTTTTCAACAGGGGAGTTGTCCTTCGCTCTCTCTTTTTGTCACCTTGATCAGATGTGAAACCTTCTGGTTTCAGTGTCAGTTACTTTAGGATTGCTACATTAGAGTGAGAGTTGAGTAATCCAGACTAAGTTTGCTCTAAAGTATGGCTTAGTGTGATGTCTAAACACTGCCAGTCTTGTTGCAAAGTTAACATTTTGGCCAGGTTTTGAAATTCCAGAAATTAATATTTCCTGAAGTATCTTATTAAGAAAGTAACTGTTTGAATTCAGTTGATGATCTAATGGGGTTTAGTTCATCAACCTGAGAACTCATTTAAGTTGATTTGATATTGTACTTGGTTAACATGCCTGGGTGGTTCAGTTGGTTAGAGCATGGTGCTGCGAATGCCAAGCTTGCAAGTTTGATCCCCGCATGGGACAGCTGCTTATTCCTGCACTGCAGGGGCTTGGACTAGATAATCCTTAGCATCCCTTCCAACTCCACAATTCTATGATTCTATGTCTTACATTGCTGTGTAATGACATTCCTGGCAAAACATTTAATCTAAATTATTTTCTTGAGTCCCCTATCATATGTTCCTAGAAGTTCAACTTCACTTTCAAAGTTTCCAGACTGTTTTCTGAATCTAACATTTGATCTGTCTGTCATTGTTGGATTAGTCTTAGATTTTAACATTATCAAGAATCTGGTAGCTGTTAGGTTTGGACATTGCTTGAAGAATAAAAATTTAATAATATTTTGTAGCTACTTTGCCCCTAAGACATCTCACGATTAGCAGCTTGAATGTTATTTGGATTTGAGCATAACTAGAATAAAGATATACAAAACTTCTAGGGCAGAATTTGACAAAGTTTTATTTTTAACCCGGAGAGTTTCACACTTTCTTCGTATAGAAACTTGTTTGTATTTCTATTTCTATCTGGTGACTATTGATATTCTTGTGAAACTTTACACTAACCTGAGGCACGGTTCTATGTTAAAAGGAAAATAAGAGCATCTAGAAAATATTTGACTAGTATGCATCTGTCTTTGTGGAAGAATTTTGCATTTGGAAAGTAATACAACAAATCAGGATGAATTGGAGTTCATAGGAAACAGTAAATTAAAGCATGAACTTGCATAAGGGTATTTATCTCTGTCTCAGTAAAACCCACACTAAATGTTAAAGAGAAAAGCTGCATTAATTACTGAAGAGGGATTCAAAGCTCAGCAGTTTACTAGGCTTGAAGGATTTATTGAAAAGCAGGGGTTCTCATGTGTAACTGTGGGCAATAAACCTATTTAATTAAAGGCTTAATCTTTTAGCTGCTGTTCTCTGCTATTTATTCCTATAAAAAAGCTTCATCTCAATATTAGTGTTTGATTGCGTGCCCCCCCTTTCAGGTTTGCATTTGTTGTTCCTTCTCCCATGAATACGTGTGTTAAAGGGGGGGAGGGGATGACCCTTGACCTGCCAAACTTATTAGCATAGGCCTTCCAGTGCCAGCAACCAAGGGTTCATTGTGAAGCATGTCATCAATCCTGGCAGCAAATCAGCAAAAAATGTATGATATTGACACTGATGTTGCAAGAAGGGATCTCTCATGAGGGGTGAGGAGACAAACTCTTACAACCCAACTCTCAACCGTTGAGATATGTTACAACCTTTAGAAGACCTCTGAAGGCAACCCTGTATCGGGAAGTGCTTAATATTTAATGCTTTTAATGTTTAATTATGCTTTTGTATATGCTGGAAGCTGCCTAGAGTGGCCGGGGCAACCCCATCAGATGGGTGGGGTACAAATAATAAAATGTTTGTTGTTGCAAGGCCAGGTTGCTCACCGGAGTGAGACGGTTTGAGCGTATTACACCAATCCTGGTTGACTGCACTGGCTCCCAATTATTTTCCGGGCCCAATTCAAAGTGCTGGTTTATAAAGCCTTAAAGTGCTCAGGACCACAATACCTCAAGGACCGCCTCTTTCCATATGAACCCACCTCCTCCAAGAGAGATCCAGAGGGTGGCAACACGAGAACAGACCTTTTCGGCAGTGGCTCCCCGTCTGTGGAATTCTCTCCCCAGGGAGGTTCACCTGGAGCCTTCATTATACACCTCTTTAACCAGGCCTTTGGTTTATTTGATTGACATCCTATGCCCTTTTAAAATGTGTTTGGGGGGGTTGTTGGGTGGTGGTTGTTTTTATTTTGATTATGTACCTTGTGGTTTTATATTCTGAGACCTGCAAGTATAGGGCGGTATATAAATTATAATAAGAATAAGAACAGGACCTTGGCTGTGTGAAGTGATATTATTTCCCTTCCCATTTACGGTACTTTTAACTTCACTTCTCTTGGATCTTCTTCAATTAATGGTAGAAGCATTGTGTCATAGGAGGGGAGCCATAGCTCTGCATTGGCAGAACATCAGAACAGCCTGCTAGATCAGGCTAATGGCCCATCTAGGCCAGCATCCTGTTCTCACAGTAGCCAACCAAACACTTGTGAAAAAACTGCAAGGAGGATTCAAGCACAACAGCACTCTCCTCTCTTGTGGTTTCCAGCAGCTGGCATTCAGAAACATTATTGCCTCTGACTATGAAGGCAGAGCATAGCCATCATGGCTAGTAGCTACTGATAGCTTTGTCCTCCATGAATTTATCTTTTAAAGCCATTTAATTGGGTGACCATCACTACCTCTTGTTGTGTAAATTCAATAGCAGATTAACTATGCAGTATGTGAAGAAGTACTTTCTTCTGTCCCAAATCTTCCAATATTCAGCTTTATTGAATGTACACAAGTTCTAGTGCTATGCAAGAAGAAAAACTTTTCTTCTTCCTTCTCCATACCATACATAATTCATAAACACCTATCATGTAACCTCTTATTTGCCTTTTCTCTGGGCTAAAGAGCCCAAAATGCTGCCATGTTTTCTCACAGGGAGTTGTTATCCCTTTATCATTTTGTTGCCCTGTTCTGAACATTTTCCAACTACAATATTGTTTTTGGGATTAGGTGACTGCAACTGTACAAAGTATTCCAAATTCAATTCTTTTCTTAACTCCAGCGTGGAATTTGCCTTTTTCACAGCTGCTGCACACTGGGTCAACATCTTTGTTGAGCTATCTACTTTTACTCCAAGGTCTCATTCCTGGTCAGTCACTGGCAGTTCAGATCCCATTATCTTGTTTGTGCAATTATGATCCCCCGCCCCCCATTACATACATCACTTTACACTTGTTTACATTGAATTTACACTGAATTCCATTTTACTGCCCATTTGGTCAGTTTGGATATGTCCTTTCGGAGCTCTTCAAAATCACTTTTTGTTTTATTGAACAATTTAGTATCATCAGCAAACATAACCACCTCACTACTCATTCCCCGTTCCACTAGTTGAAGAACCTGTGTCAGCAGTGCTAGGAGCCACTGCCACTGAGAAAGACCTTGGGTTGACTGCTTCTATTGCCTGACTGATTATCTGTGATTGTGCTTTTTTTGTCCTAGGTCAGTGCGCACCGAGAAGACAGTGTCAGCCTCAGTGGCAGTCATTCGGGATTGTCCAGTGCCCTTTCTGCTCAGAATTCTGAACTAAACCACAAAGCACAAGAAAGCTACAGAGGTAAGAAAAGTACAGAGGTAAGATGAATTCCAGCTGGATTTTTCCTAACCCAGGACTCTGGGTGACTAGTCCATCTAAGGATCCTAGGGAGTCTAATCTACAAACTTGCCTGTATTTAATTGTCTCTTCATGAACGAGAAATATACTGTAGCTGGAGGAATCTTTGTGATATGCAGTAAAATTCTTCATGTAAACCCCACAGATTCCTCTCCCTAAAAACTTGTATTTGGGTTGCTGTTTGTTGTGATCCCAGGCATGCTTTGGCAATGTTTGTATACCTGTCTTAAACAGTGATGGGAAACATTTTTGTCCCGGTAAGCCAGATCTTGTATCTTCTTCCCACTCCACCTGTGCAGGCCATCTTTGACAGGTAGACAGGACCTGTCAAAGCATAACCCTTGTGCAGAGTTTACTAAGCACCCAGCAACCAGCTGATTGTTGGGTGCTTCAGAATTGCTGCACAAGGTGCTTTGCAAACCATCTAGTCCAGAGCTTTCCAAACTTTTCATGTTGGTGACACTTTTTAGACATGTTTCATTTCGCTCACAGTGATTCAGTTTTACTAGCAAACTGGAGGTTAAACTAATCCCTTGTAAGAGCATTCATGCGACACACCCACACATTGCAGCCAACACACTAACGGGTCACGACACACAGTTTGGAAAGCTCTGCTCTAGTTGGTGTTTGGGCAGTGCTGAGCACAATAACTGCAAAGTACTTTGCACATACTTCTCAATCAGTAATAAGCTTCCCAAAAGCCTAACAACCAGCTGATTGTGGGATGCCTCTTTTAACCCCACCGCTACCTGCTCCACACCTGACATCCTATATGATATCAGATGTAGGGCACATGGGCATGGCTTGGCCAAAATGGCCTTGGGGGCCAAATGGGGAGTTTAGTTAGGCTAAATCTGATGTGCATGCTGGAAGTTCCCCACTTCTGCTTAAGCACACACACACACGGCCATGTGGATGCAAGTTAGTAAATTAATGTAGCATATCCCATAATAGTTGTCTGTCTTTCCTTCCAAACTGCATGTGTCAGCCTATCTACTAAATTTTTAAAGAAGGGGATTAAATCTGCACAACCACTTTTGGAGATAGTTTTCCACCTGCAGAAGTGGTTCCCTATAAACTGAAATGGACTTGTGTAGACTTCCTGTTCTTAAAAATGATGTTTATACAGTAACAAGCTGAACTGATATCCCAGCCTTGGCAGAACACACCCATTCATAGCAGGTACCTTTAAGAGCACTTTCAGTTCTCAGCTGAAACAAGCTAAGGCATGAGAAGTTTTGCTGGCCTGAATGGATGGATTCCCTCTTTTTCCCCTTTAGGTCACACAGTAAAATGAGCAGTACCACAGATGGCTTCTTTGAGTAGGTCTTATGCACAGAGGGGGTAGAATGCGTCATTTTCTGGACTAGTTGGAACTTACAGCCACAGTGCACAAGGACTGACCATTCTGGTCCCTGATTTATTCATATGGTGTTTGCCAACAATTCTCCAAATGGTCTCTTAAAATAATATTTCTTTGAATGGCATCTTATAAATCCAAAGCACAGTGATTTGGGTTGTGGGTCCTGAAAAGAATGATAGTCTGTGTGCTTGGTCAACACCAAGAGTCGTTACTCTTACAGCTAATAAGATCTCTGCCTGTTCCCCACCCTACCCGCTGCCCCATATCATGTAAATACTGAATAATTTCTTACCCTTTGTCTTTCAACCTGCAGTAATCATTTATTAGGTACATCACAAAAAAGTTTTATTCTCTCAACATTTCTCATAGACAGTAGGGCACTATGGAGAGGTTATATCCCC